GCAAGTACTGCCAAACAATGAGGGGTCACCATACATGTAGATCGTTTCGCAAATGCGTGAATTGAGAGGTGCACATGTGTTTTCAAAGGCCGCGTGAAAGAAGAGCGGTAAAGTCGGTGAATAGAATAAGTGTTGTTTGGGGGCCGATGCCTGTTATAAACTCGCCCTCGGCACAGTCTGGTTGATTTTTGGGCCACGCCAGGCTTATATAAACCAAGGACATTATATAAACTCTGCTAAAGAATCTAGAAGGATATATAAAGCTCGGAACAAGGATTTTATATGAACATGGAGCTTCAACTAGGTTATGATATAACGTCCTTGTTATGAATGTGGTATAAGTGTATCCCAAAGTTTATATTTGTAACTATAACCCTTGCTATGAACAATGAGCAGATTTGTTTGTGTCGTCCGTCGTCTCCCCGCATATATTAACGCCTAATTATCCCGGCACCATATTGGATCTACAGTGGTAAAAAAAACACAATTACTGATCAGAATTTTACCAATCTAGGCTATTGGGAACCTTCGATCTTGACATATTTCACCTTTGCAAACATGGTCGTTTTCGTTGGTGATGCGGGGGACCGGCTTGGTGTTTTTCAAATATCAGCCCACTTTAGTGTAAAAAATAATTTTTTTGGAAGAGAAAAAAGATGCACGATTTACTTGTACATTGTTGTCAGATGTGTATTGTGGTGTCATGGTCAGAGACGAGACGAAACGGCGCCTATGTCTTATTTACCTTGTTTGTTTTTTATAAGAGAGGTTTAACTTCCTTGGTTATATTTAATTCTTTGGAACTTAAAGAACACGAAGTTGAAAACATTACACAGGTAAACTGCAAATTCTGTGTTGATGATAACATTCCTATTAGACTATTTTATAGCCTATGTTTTTTTAGCGTGCATACAACTTTTACACAATAGACAAGCGGGACATTTCACAACTCTTTGTATCATTATTCCTGCAGTGACCTGTAAACCAGACCAGCCAATTTACCTGAATTTACCTGAACTGCAGAGATATCGTCTTATCTCCGCAGTCAGGAGCTTGATGGTCGCTCCTCCGTCTAGTACGGTCTTGATGTGTAGGTCTATGCTACTCTTGAACCCGTTCACACTGGTTTGCTGCACAACTTCTTGGGGTAAACATGCATGCATTTCTCTTTGTTGGGGTTTGAAAAGGGGGCCAATCAACGCTCGAGTCATTATTTTTGAAATATTTCCGTTACTTGCCTGGTTGTGGAACGTGCATTATTATACAACTATCCTGGATACAAGAAACACGCTAGGAACTTAGTGAGAGCACGGAGGTAGAAAAAGCTCCATGGTGAGAGATTGTGTCATATCCCATCATCAACATATCGGTATTGCGTCATTCTACGTCAATTGGAGCAGTTTTCAAGACAAGAACGCTGTGGGACACTGGCAAGACGAACTGGGACAAGACTACTCTCCAGGCTGAGGTTGATTGGGAAGATTGTGAACGTCAGAGTATGCCTCGTTCTTTGGAAAGCCGGTAGCCAGAACTCTGGGAGCCAGGCTGCGGGCATAGGCGAGTGATAGTCCGCGTGCAAGAGAGTAATAGACCGGACCAGAGGACCGATGTACACCCCTCTCGACTATCCGCTGTGTCCCGACTCAAGGCCGTAGTGTGGCACAAGATGTGCGGCCCGTGGGTCGCAGCCTCAGCGAGGCTTGTTACATGGAATGTTCCTTGGCGCATCTTAGTTTAGTCGGTCCGGTCTATCACTCGCCTGCGCACGGTCTTTCACTTGCGACTGCCCGTAGCACCACAAGCCGGTCGGGTGCATAATATGTTGCTTTTGGATTCTGTCGTGGCTAGCGTGTTTGGAGACTAGGCAAAAAGGGCTTGGCACGGCTTCTAACGACTGGTGCCCATACGAGACTACTAGTAATCTGCTCCCGTGACTAGCTGCGTTTAAAGGCAAGACACAGAAGGACGAAGGTCGAGACCTACAGTTTGTTTCAGCTGAGCTGAAAGACCGGCCGAAGAACACTGGAAATTTTGGAGGCGCACAAAATACAAACATTTTAAGGAAACTCACAAAGCCCAAGCACCATGTACAATTAATAAAGAAAACAAAATTATGCAAACAAGAAGGGGGAATTAAGGGCCATAATGCCGCTTTACATTACAAAAGGCATATTGGAGTGTGGGGGGACGTGTGCGGGTGTGTACGACCGGTACACGGGCTGATAATGAGGAAGATAATTAGGTGAAAATTACCGCTAATTTATGCATATTTCATACACACACACAGAGGTACGTGTCACGTATCCGGGCATGTGCGGAGATTTACGGGTGGCGTGTGCAGACGTGTGCAGGCCCGTACACGGCCCGGACACCTGAGTGGTTCATATCCGGGCCGTGTGCAGGCCTGCACACGCCAAGTGTACGGGTCGCGCACACCTGGAAATGTCCGTATATTTGGAATTTCCGGGCGTGTGTACGGGAGTATACGACCCGCAAACGTCGGTTTTCGTCCAGTGTCACATGTATCATACCCCTCTTTCCTTGCATAAATGCTTTGAACATTGTATTGGATTTATAATGTGAAAAACACTGAGATTAATTTTTAGTGAAGATGGTCCATCAGTTTTTAGTTTTGTACAATCAGAGCTTAGCCATTAACTGCTGACCAATTTCTATTCCTTTACATTGTAAAGCTTGGCAAGGCAGTATTGTCTTCACTTTATATTCTGGGTTAGGTGAGACTAACTCTTCATATACAATAATTATTGTACATAAATTCCTTATCTGTTGTCAATAAGTTTCAAACCTAAAGTGTCTTCAAGAGTCTTGATCACCGTCTTACCCAGCGTTTTGAACATGTTACCACAACAGAGTCAGGGACAGGATGAGTCCTGGTAGTTTATGTTAGCCAAATTTATTGGGTGCTTATATAGTACAGGCCTGATTTTTAATACAGGTTAACAGATGCGAGTGTATACAGTAAGACTACGTACTGATATTATCATTCAATCATCCGCAGGCATTAAGTGCTGATGCATGGTGGCTACAGTAATGCACAGTTCCCGCCAGGTTGATCTGTCACCGGCACAGGTCCTCCAGTCGCCTCTAACACCCAGCTTCTGGAGTGTGGGGAAGAGCTGGCCTTCCCATCTTGCCCTTGGGCGTCTCCAAGAGAGGTCAGGCTGTGAGGTCAGCAGTTTGATGACGTCCTTGGTAGGAACAGCTCAAGAGGAATGTCCCAAGAAGATCGACTGCTGTTTGACAATCCAGCGTGTTACTGATGCCTGGTTTGTCCTAATACGGACTGTTTCGTTGGAAATACAGTCGTGCCAGCAGATACCCTCTACCTTTCTCAGGCACTGGGGGTCAAAAGCATCCAGTTTCTGAGCGAGCGACTTTGTAATGGTCCATGTCTCCGCACCGTACAGAAGGAACGACAGGACCAGAGTATTATAGGTCCTTACCTTGGTTGTTCTAGACAGGTGTTTGTAACGCCACACACGATTGAGACTGGCAGAAGCTGCAGACGCTATTTCCAACCTGCGCTTAACCTCTTGGTCAGATTCACAGTGTGACGTGATGAGGCTACCAAGATAGTTGAAGCACTGATCAACCTCGACCGACTCTCCTCTGATGGCAGGTTGGCCACATGAATGGTTGGTCCACGAAGTCACTGAGTGAATGGAGCTTTGTCTTCAGCCAACTGACCTCGAGTCTCATACTCTGACTGTCTTCAGCGAGCAGTGCCACACCATTCGCATAATCCATGTCAGTAAAGGGGTAGTCTGCGAAGGTAGTTTCGCACATATCCCATTTAACTGTCCTTGCCATTACACGGTCGATGGCAGTGTTAAAACGTGCTGGAGCTAGGACACAACCCATGCAAACGCCGCTGTGAAGCTCAAACCAGTCAGAGTGGTTTGTTCCAATTCTAAGACACTCCCTGTGTATAGTTCATGGATAAGGCAGATTATCTTGTGCGGAATACCTGTGGCTCGTAGGAGCTTCCACATGAAAAGGTGTGTGAACGGAGTCGAAGGCAGCTTTGAGATAGACGTATGCCACAAACAAGACTCTCTCCTCTTTTGATCAATGATTATATTGATATAATAACCTGTTTGTCACAGATTGGGTTTCACAGCCACATAAAGGCCTACAGAGTTAAATATATCCTTTCTAAATCTTTAAAAACGAAGTTACTGCCATCTTAACTTCAGGTGTGTTGTGTAGCTGTATGATATTTGGTAGGTAAGATGAGGTACCAGCAAAATAAAAGTCAAACGATATACAGCAGCACATTTCAGACAACTTAAACTCATAAATGAAGAATAAAAAGGTACCGAGATTTATTTTAAAAGATAACTTCAATGATTGCTATCTATTTCAAAGTGAAAGCCATATTATACCTTTTTAAATGGCTAAAGATAGACTGAAGGTATCATTAAGGGCATCTGTGTGAAAAAACATGTTGTTGTGAGAAAAATTTATAAATATTTGATCATAGAAATTATATATTGTTATATAAGATGTTATTATTATAAAGGACGCATAATTTAACAAAAACTGAATGTTAACGTTTAAACCCTAATTACTGATATTCCCCAAAATTGCCTGTCAGAAACCCGTTGCCATTGTAATACAAAAATTTCCCAACTTATCTAATTCACATTAAATATTTGCCAGATATACTTTAACCCTTGTCCTGTTGGCATTCCTGGCACAATATTTTTCAATAATTTAATGTCTTAATCAGATCATAGACCCCCATTTTTTTTGCCCCGCAGTACTGTGGCATAGTTACTCCCGCATACGTTGCGTTTCGCTGCGGTGCAATGCGTTGCACGAGAAATACCCCTAAATCGTACCTATACAGGGTGCTATATAGATGGTACTGTATGTGCAGAGCAACAATTGTAATGCTCCACAGGACAAGGGTTTTAAGAAAAGTCACCAGATGTGACTAGCGCAAGCCGTTCCAGTGCTATCCGAGGTTTCCGAGATGAAAGTTGTAGTGGGCCTCACCCCCCCCCCCCCCTTCCCCATCTAAAGAGGGTTAACGTGCTCTATTACAGCACTGTAACGATGGTACTAAAGCATATCTTATATCATTTTATGTTATGCTATTGCATTTCTCTTGTGTATTTGGACAACGTATTAAAGTATCTTTTTATCGTCTTTTACAACCAAGGTCCAAAAACATCCCCGTGTAATTGAGGATTGACCCTTCGATCAGGATCTGGCCAAAATATGGGTACAGCTGTTTTGTTGTATCTCGCAAGCTTCTCCAGCAGGTCTTGCACAATATCAGGGTGTATTTTTGACAGATCTGTTCGCTCCTGTGGGTCACTGCGAATGTTAAACAACCAGAGGTGCTTGTCGGGTGGATCTGCCGACTCTTCAAAACCATCGTAGGTTGGACGTCGACGCATCCAGCCAGCTCCTAAAAGAATCATTTGGATACTCTTGTAGAACGAAGAATTTCAAAGTGTTGAAACATAGAACCGTGTAATGTAAAAGTCACTGTATTTGACACCATACGTTGTACCAAGTGAATAAAACCCGCAAGGTAGAAAGGCAGGCATTGCTTGGCAAATACAGCATGTTTCAGTCCATTTCCCTTCCCATTAAAATGTTTTTCGACTTTCCTAATTCTGAAAAAGCTTATCTTACATGTTTAAATAAAGTCAACTTATTACTCACCCTGGTATCCTGTCAGTAACTTCCAGTCCGCAGATCGAATGGCAGCATACACGGATGTGTTGATAATGTTATCATGAGGCATAGCTGAATACGAAATCATCTGTGCATCGTAAAACGGGTCAATGTTATGAAGCAATTCCTTTCTTGGTGACGTCTTGCCAATGCTAGAAAAAAAAATCAATTAGTTTTCCTTGTGCTATAAGTAGCACCAAATCAGCCGTTGTTAGAAATAAGATAATAAGATATTTCAAGTTACCATAGTTATCCCTTATATCTGATATTGATTATTACAAGGATGTATCTTATACATAATCTTCTCGTTAATGCCCAACATCAATGTATTGATGTTTCCCGCAACATCTTGCTTATGACGGTTAAATACACTTTATTTCAGTTCTGCAGTTTATTTCAGTTCTACAAACCCCTTTTACCCATTTGAACTTTAGCACTTTGCAAAGAAGCCTCGCATCTAAATTTATTGTTGTCTTGATAATCTACGGCACAAAACTGCCGTCTCTAAACTCCGAATTTGTTGCCACAAATTACATATCAAAACTGGTAGACATAACCGCACTCCCATAGAACAACGAATATGTCGGTACTGTGATCTAGGAAGAATCTTAGACAAACCCTTTATATCAAAACATGCCTATTTTTACCTTTTTACCTTTACTAAGAAACGAGAAGAAACCGAATTTACTTGATTGTAGCTACTTAGCGATGTATATATGTAACGTTATTTGTATTCCATCCTTTAGTTGTGACCTGTACTTAACCCAGAAAGTATGTGTGTACAATAAAGGTCTTCATTCATTCATTCATTAAAAATTAAAAATAAAGTGACAACTGTCTTGGAGTATTTAGACAGAAAGGAAGGCCTTTCACCCCTGCACAAACCTCCATGTATTATGTATGAATGGCTTTCGCTTGAAACCTCTAAACTTGACGAATTTGCTATAATATCACGGTTCATTAGCCTCTTGTTAGTAATACTTGAACTCATGCCCCACTTATATCTGCATCTGAATAGGGTTAATTGACATCACACTGCGGGTATATTTTTTGTGAACTAAAATACAAAGTTAATCTGCAGTCACAACCCACCGTGCGTGCTTTTTGTCCGTACGTTTTTTGGGGAGGCTCCGTCTGCTACGTTTTTCTGAAAACGTGGGGAAGGAGTGGCGTCTACGCACGTCAATCGCACGTTGCGCAAGGTGTAAGAGTGTGGTCTGCACGCCACGTCTGGTCGTGAGCGGTTGCGTGCATCGTTCGTTGCGCAAGTGGTAAGTGAGCCGTACGTGCTTACAACTTACGATCTCTGTGCGATTGCAACATTAGGGCCCTGTCACACTTTTGCGAATAGCCATTGCGTTTGAGTTGCGTACAGACATTTCTGCCGTACGCACAATACGTAATGTTACTGTGACGCACATGTAGCGTATAAATAACGAATTTAGCGCATAGATTGCATTTGACATCCGTGTGGCGTTCGCATACATTGCGAACGCCAAGCGTATTCCGGACGCACTCAACGTATGCCCACCGGATGCCTAACGCACTTCCGACGAATGCCAAGCGTCTTGTGGACGTATTCCCTGCTGCTTCCTCCTGCTGTTTCATTCGCAGCGAGTCATTCATGGGCCGCCCTCAACTCAGATAAAATGTGTTTGTTTCTATTTCGCCCCAGCCCTGGTCAATTTCCTGTAATATATTGTCAGGTAAACTAAATACACGTACCCAGTCTTTATACAATTTGTAACAAACTTAACAGTTAGACTGTTGATACCCTTGATGAATTGGAGATGTCAAGAAATGCCCTTCCTTAATAATTTGAAAACACCCATACTTGAAATACAGACAATTTACAATTGCACAAACACACAGATACATGTAGCATGGACACTACACATATGTGCTAACACTACAATCTACCGACCCAAAAACAGGCAACTGGCGCATTATTCCAACAGGCAACAAAAATTAAGCAAATATTAATGTTAAATTTAGATATATTGATGCGGTATGGACATGGAGGCGGTACAGGGTGTTCTTTTGTGTTAAAAAGTGACAAAATGCATTTTTGTAAAACAAATTGCACTCTAGGAAATACAGATTCCCAAAAATCATCTACTTTTCATCAAAACATATTAGAAAGAGCCAATCATAACATATTTTAAACATATCATTTTTTTGTCACATCTTACGTAAAATGCTCCAGGAGGTCTGTTAATCATGGGGTCCAGAGGAGCAGGTACCCCGGGTGTAGCCAACGTTTTCGGCAATTCCCTATCTAGATCGGTACGCAACATTTGCGCTTCTCATTAGTTACAAATACGTACAATGTGCTGTCCTGTTGCAATACGAACGGTGTTAAAGCGCCATAAATACGCAATGCATTCGTCCATTGTACGCAGCTTATGTACAGGTGCAGTTCCAGGTGCAAATCAGCGTATGGGCCGCTTGTCCCCCACGAAGACATAGCGTATTCATCCCGGTGATGGGGGTGATACAGAGCTACCTGTAAAATCGCATGTATCTCCAGTTTGGCTTGACCAATCAACTTCAAATTTGGAAGTAACTTAGATGAAATACCACTGATTCTAAATAATTACTTTTTCCGTCAAAAATCTGCATAATTGCTCCATAATTGATAATAATATTAGACCATTATGACTCTATAAAATCGGCCTAGACCAAACCCTTCTGCTTAGAATTGTAATACAAAACTTTCAGAGAATGTGGAGAGATATGCACTTTATAGGAATCGGTTTCCAGAAAAGAAGAATATAGCTTAGGCTTGAAAATATTTTGTAATATAGTCCATTTTGGTAGAAATCTAGGGGGTAGCTATGACTTTATCTGCCAATAGCTAGATATAAGAGGATAAAGTAGTTTTTCTGAAAACCGATTCATATAAACGGACTTCTTATGCATTGTTTGCACCCAATTTCAACTTTGTAAACCCATGGGAAGAGTTTGGTCTCGGGCTTTAAAGTTTAAAAGTGTAAATTCTGGTAGATTTCCTTCCTTGATCTGTCAATCTTTATCAAGGCTCATGACTGTGAATGAAATTAATTGTTTTCGCACCTCCACTCAAGGCTATTACGGGCAATTATCTTTAATTATGCATAGCGGGCAGACGGCAGCATGTATCCATTCAAATTCAGACTTTACCACAAGTCTTTATTTTTAAACATTTGTTTGTTACTCTTCTAGTGCAAGGTTCTAGCTTTGACATGTAGTTTTATTGATAGCAGCTATAAACCTGAACAACAGCTCTGCCTGTTGGGCAGAAAACAGATAGATGTCTTATAATTCATATGAAGAAAGGAGTTAAATCTAAGACTTTTACCCCCGGCCCAGAGACGAAAAATGTGTATTGACTTGTCTGGCTCCAAACATGCACCTACATCCATGCCTCGTATCTCCCTAAACTTCCTAGCCTTTACTCTACATGTAGTTTGTTGGCCCTCTGTTTTCACAATGTTTATTTTGAGCGCCATGTACGTGCTTCCCAGTCCTTCCCTAACATTCAATCTTGATGATGTGAAATGTTACATAGCTTTGGATTCTTTGAAATTAGATTTTTAGGGGCGAAGCCGGAATAGAACGTCCTTGATAGGGGCCACTAAAGAACACATTAGCACATAAAATGGTCATTTTGAATCCTGTTTGTAAACTATGGTCATCATAGTCTCTTACAAGTCTTTTACAAGTCTTCGGGAGGCAGCTGGAAAGATTAGAAATTGGTCAAAGCGGGTTCAAAAAGAAAAATCAAGAACGTTATTAATAACTTCACTGACTTTAATTTTCTTAAAAGACGTGCAATACATAGTTGAAATCCCGGCTCCATCACCAATTTATAAATATAAGACCCCGTTATATAAACTTGAGTTAGATACTGGTGGATATATGCTGTATTTAGGAATGTGTTTTAATTGTTTTTCATTTTTACTTTCTTTCCAAGCATGTTTCAAGCCATAAAGTCTTCTATAAACCAAGGAGCTTTCATCACATGTGACGAAAGCTCCTTGTTCTAGGAGGACAAGAACACTGAAAATTCAAAGAGAGTGTGAAGTTAGCACATACAAATGCAAAATAGCAGGAGGGGCAGTGGGTGGTGAAGCTTCAGCAATTATCACCATACCTATTGCATATTTACGATCTTCTACTTGCACCTTGCTCATTTAAATGCTATTATAATATTAAAATGAGGTCTTTGCTGGGGGAAAGAAAGCGCGTCTTAGGTACACAGAGTACTCGCACGCACGGGTGGTGAATCCGCAGACCACACGTAGAAAAAGTTTTACATGCACTTAAAGTTCTACGGCGTGTCTGCGTGCTCCAAAATCCGTAGGATTCCGTACGGAGGTGGTACTCACCACGCACGAATGCCCTACGTTTGCTCACGTTTTTGCACGTAGACAGCACGCAGAAGCACGTACGGCGGGTTGTGACCGTAGCTTTAGGAACATGGTGTTTTATAGCCATAATTGCATAATTGCAACTAAACATGCAAACCTACTACAGGACAGCAAAATCTTATATGATTTTGATGCTGCGACGAAAAGTCACATGAGAAAATTCTATACTTTTGACACAATGTTTTTTGTAATAACCTTATTATTCGATATGTTTGAGATCTTGCTTATACCTTATAGCATCCCAGACATCAAATCCATCCAGAGGCTTGGTACCAGATGTAGATCCGTTGGAAATGCGAAGTAAAGTAGGAAACCAATCTGAGATATGGATAAGAGCATCACTGATTCTCCCCTTTTCCTCCAACAGGTTGCTGTTGACAAAACCGACAGCTCGTACTCCTCCCTCCCACAGGGTGTTCTTCCAACCTCTCAGCGGCCAGTTACTTCCTGCAAGTTCCCTGGCACCATTATCTGTACATCGCAACACAAAAAATAAGCTTCCCTGTTTAAAAGTGATAAACTTTAATGGTTTAATACTTAATTCAAGAACTAAAAACGTTTTCATTACACTACGAGTAAACAAAACAACGAAAAATATGCATTCTCTTGAAAATAAACGGCGGAGAAATTATTAACTCTACTATATACTATAACGTAACTATTTATTTTGTACGCCTTAGTAATATTTCGGAACAGAAAAATATTGTTCAAACTATGCAATATATGTTATGGGAAAAACGATAAGTGTGCTTTTGTAAAGACATCAAATGCAATTTGAGAGCGGAAAAACAAAAATAAAAATTTAAAGAAATCTGATATAGATACCAGGTTCAACTAATTACATTAAGAGCATAAAGAGAAATATCCAAACCGCTGAATTGAATTTGAATTGGATGTCCGAAACATACATACTTTACGATGAGCACTATATGAGGCAAATCTCAACAATAATTATTTCTATCCGTTAAAAGACAAATCCAATACTTTCAGTTTTGGGGCCTTTCCACCCAAAATCCTTTTTGTAAATGGTGATTTATTGGTTTCTGCCAACCCCGCACATATTTGCGGTTATATCTGACCCGCTCAATGTTCCCCGGCTAGCGCCCGATTGTCCGCTAGGAAGCGCTGCGACTGGTTCTGTTATGTCACCGGTAACCATCTTACATAATTAAAGATAACTTAAATCATTTAATATTCATACTAATTTGATGAAATCAGTGTCAAAATAAAAAAGGCGGGCCATATTATTAGCTGTGATGTCATATGACGTCATAATTGCACCAAAGTTGTTAGAATTAAATACTATTAGTACACCATTCTCTGAAAATTTGGTGGCCATGTAATAAGTGCATAAAAATCTAAATACGGAAATAGAGTAATGCATAAAAACGCCAGTGTATCCATTACGATCGCAAGCCGGCTGGGGTCCGCGCGTACCCAAAAAGAAAATCATATAATTTTTTTTCAGAAATGGTTGAAACTTAGTTTTATGCACTGTATTGAGGGACAACTTTGTGGGTGACAATAACCTAAAATTTCAGAAAAAAATCTTTAGAAACAAAAAAAATATTACGTAATATATAGTGCTTGGGACCCCAGGTGTACTGTTTAAGGTTAAGTTATTGAAGATTAAATTTGTAAACCAACCTGTTGAAAATATAAGTACAGTATTGTCCCAAAGTCCACCACTTTTTAAGGCGTCTGTAACATTCCCAACAGCTTCATCCATTGCTGTCACCTGTGCTGCATACGTTCGCATAATGGGGTCCCTTACATCCATGTAATTCTTCAAATATTCCTCGGGCACCTGGAGTGGCCCATGAACCGCTTGAAATGACAAGTACAGGAACATAGGCTACAGGAATACGAGAGTAGAACAGATTAAAAAAAAACAGAAACTATACATATGTCACAGGGGAGATTGAAATCCAGGGGGAATCGGAATACTCCCAGGGGAGATAGGGATTCCAATTTGGCCCTGGACAAGTGGGAATTCTTACAGGACGATTTAAAAAGGAGAAATTCTGATTGCATCAAAATGCTTGGGACAATAGACCGAGTTATTTCACACCCAAACTTTCAATCAATTTCAGCATAGGTAAGTGAATATGTAAATCAGACTCAGATATTTGCATCAGGCTATTGTAAGATGGTGACTCAAAAACAGTTTTCCAGTTTGTTAGTGACTTAGCTCATAAAATAAATTCTGAAGAAAATCATGGTTTGTAAGAATATTATTGTTTCCTTTATTTTTCCAATTTATTTTTACATTATTTTGCCAATTGGAAATAGATTTGGGTCTAATTTAGGAAAGATTGCAAGTATAGAATTAGAACTGCATATTATGCCAGTACAAATCTTGATTCCAATCTAGTATTTCACCTACAATTGTAGTACACGGCGGTCGGTTGCTAGGCTAAAAGTCGCATTACTAGGGAGGTATCGGGTTACAGAACGTGTTCGAACGTGGCCGCGCGGGAGTCCCGGGCCAGCCCGGGGGCAACGGGTAAAATTTGAAAATAAACAAAAGTAATTGGAGAGTAAATACTCGTCAAAATAAAATGTAATAAGTGATTTTGTTTACCTCAAATGTTATTCTTGCACTGCCTTTGCTCCACTTTGTGTACATTTGCTTCCAAATGAGAACAATTTCGGATTTCAAAAAGGGTTCACGAGAACCAAACAACTGATTTTAAGAGGCCCCGAAAATTTAAAATAAGGTAAAATTTTTGGATTTTTAGAAATATTACAGTAAATTTAAACTTTCTGTCTTAGGATTTTTTTATTTTTTAACTAAAACTCGACTTACAGTCAAAAGAAGAGCTAAAAACGCAATGTTTTAACTTTAAATACCGATAATTCATAATCGCGGCCATATTTAAAAAATCCCTAAGACAGAAATCTGCGGAAATGGTTCCTCTTCCAAACAAGCCCTCAATGAGGTAATTTGAGCGATTTTCGGGAATGGTTAAAATACCATGTTTGCACGCATGCTGTGCCACTTGGATATGGGGACCTGGATTTTATAACAGCGTCAACAAGAATTCTGACCTTCAAGGTCACCCACGATGACGGCAGTAGCTTCGTTACATGTTACATATCCACAATAAAATCACGGCATAGATGTAATAATTTGAAAACGGTTCATATTTGTGGAAAGGTGGATTTTTCCTGTTCCGTGGTTCCCAAGTAAAAAAGGGCTTGAAGTAGCCGGTGTAGCGGCTTTACTGTAAATGACCGCGGGTAACCCCAGATCGAACGCCCGCTCTATTCGAATGACGTCATATCGAACAAGATTCGCGGGTTCGAGGGATTCGATCTCCATAGTAGCGGAGTGGGACTTTTGGGCCCAAATCTGACCATCGTGGTAAAAGGCTTGCCTCTGCTGAAATTGATTGAACGTTAAGGTGTGAGAAGATTGAATCTATGAGTTCTAGTATTTCTAAAACTGAATTTGTATCTAAATATCAGAATTCCAATATTTCATAGTAGGATTAAAGATTTCCCTAGGAGGATGGCAGATTCTCCTAGGGAGATAGGGATTCCAATCTCCCCAGGACTATTCCGGATCCCCCTGGATTCCAATCTCCCCTGTGACATATATGTATATTTATATATAACAATCAATAGTCATCAATCAGCAGTCATAAAAAAATTGATATTACATTTGTTCATAAACAATGTATTTAATACCTTTGTCTGCTCATGCTTTTTGATCATCTCAGCTGCCTTTTGGGCGAACAAGTGTGTTGAGTATGTGCCATTTTGATCCAGAACAGGCGTATCCTGATCTCTTAGGTCTAAGCCACGATACCCTTTTTTGTTTGTGGGTCTGCGGTGTGTCCAGTAATCTTCACTGCCTGTTAAAAAACCTAGAAAAAAAATTATTAAAGACACAAATTGTCATTAACATTACACTAATTTAAATGATAAATACAGCAAGGTTTAGCATCAAACCATAACTTTATTTGAACATTTATACACGACGAATATTATTACAAATTCTTGGTATAATTTTTATCAAAATTATCTGCTAAGGTGCAAATGACTGAATGTCGTCAGAACTTCCAGCAGCAGATACAAGAATAATAGAAACCCGGGTTACATAAAAAACAGTTCTTCTGCGAACGGGGTCCATGGTAGTGGTTTAAAATTACAAAATGGTTTTGAGAGTCCAAGTTTGAAATGACTTTTCTCATAACCTGCCACAAAAAGTTCTTTATTATTTATTCAAAACAGTGATCAGCATAACAGCAGTACATTAACAATTATGGAGCGCTAAATTGTGCTGACCTTACAAAATACATAAAATACAACGTATAAACAATCAAAACATACAGATTCTCGGCAATTACAACACATAAAAATAAAAACTACTTCTCCATTTGACTGTTATAGAGTTTGATAGTGTGATGCAGAAATGAATTCTGCATTTTGGAGGTTCTTGTAATGGAAACCCTGAGTCCTCCCGCTTTCCTTAAGGACCTCCCCTTACTCATCAGCCCCTCCACCAAGTTATGGAGGGGATGGTCTGCGTTCATCATGGCTTTGAGCAGCTTCACGGCTGCCAGGTCTCATCGTTCTCTGAGTGTAGGAAGGTTGGGTACCTCCCGTCTTCCACCCAGAGAGATGATCCGTTAAGTTCGCCGTTGGACTCTCTCAATAGCCAGCTCCTGTTGTTTGCTGTAGCCAACTAAGAGCACGTGACCGTACCCCAGCACAGGTCTGATCAAGGCTAAGTACACCTTAGTGAGATCGGAAACACCCATGCCTTGTGAGGAGTCTGAGGTAATGTAGTCGTCGAGATACCTTAGTCACCATGGAGTGGACCTGCTCACTTGATGTGAGGTCTTTGTCAAGGATGAACCCGAGCTGCGGTCACAACCGGCACGGGTTCACCTCCCAAGGTCAGAGAAATGTTAACAATTAACATGGTTTAAGAGTGTAAGATATGTTGATTTGGGGGTTAAAATTGATTTTGGCGTCGAACCTTACATCTGGGTATTCCTGCCCGCCCGTTTGACCCAGATTTTGCGTTTGGGCTTCGTGATGCATTGCCGGTTGTGATGCGTCGCAAATTGTGTCTGCCGCACGCTCGGGTGCTGTTGTGTCGGGTTGTGTCAATGCTGGCGCCGTGTACCCAAGTGCATTCGCCGGCGATTTCATGATTGCTTACAAGAACGATACGCCCAAGTCGTAACCCCTCGCGCCGTGAACGATTAAAATAAAGAGAACTAGGATTTGCTTTATAATTTAGTCGGATATTATTAAGGTTTGGGTCATTCTGCCAGCATCAGTTATTTCTGTTAGGATTTTGTTTCCATGGTTATCTTACGCTAAAATTCTTAATTTTATGGTTTTACCCTAATGAAAGATGTTAAAGGAGCCAAATTCAGTTAGTCTTGTAGCTGAAGAGATATCCTTTCATATTATATACAGTTATTCTCCTTCCAAACTATTCCAAGGAAGAGAATGTCGCTAGACTTGAGGGTTTTTAGCTTCAAAAAAAGTCAAAGAATCCTGAGTGTGCTCCCGTAAGGCCATGTTGATTTGATTATATGGATGACATCCGCGCGCGCATGAATTTTCGGCCGTTTCCATTAAAAAAAGTTTTAAACCATACTGTAAATTGTACAAAACGGTTGCAAAATGAGCAAAAATATGCCGTAAGTTACAAAAAATAAAAAATAAAAACTATACCAATGTCGTAGAATGCCAAAATCAAACGAAAAAAGACGAAATTGTAAAGAAATGAACTTAAAGACTAGACTATTCACCAAACCATATTCTGTGCCATTTGTTAAACCTTCAAAACCACGTAGATTTCATAATGAAAACAACTTTTTTTTTTGCAAAACTTTTTTTTATTCGCAGGCGCGCATCAGTTTTGGGGTTCCCGGAGGATGTCATCCATATAATCCAACATGGCCTAATTGACCTAAAAAATTCTATCATAGACAAGTCTTGTCAAAGTTTGGTTGTATCTATCCGAGTTATATGGAAAACAATTTTGACGGTTTTTGCACAAACCTCACATAAATGACGTCATAATGACGTCATATTACGTCATAATCACACCAAATTTATTATTCTGATTTAATTTTACTACTACACCATTGCCTGATACTTTGGTGGCCCTAAGTTTCAAATTGTTTTATTAGACTTATAAAGGCAAAGATCAAAGAGTTTCCAAGTTTGGTTTCATTGACCACTTTTACACTTCCCATGATGCACCGTCAGGGGTATCGCAAAATGGACCGGATGCGATTTTACGTCAATTCTTCCTAGCGCGCAAAACTAAGCCGTAATGTTTTTCGCACGCTTCAAATCGGTAAATGCTGTTTATTAATGAATTCTTATCGCCCAGCAAACATTGCAATGTTCAGTATTAAAGTCTAGGAATTAGTAGGAAAGGAAAATGTTGCCTGATTTGTAGTAAAACAGTTGAATCAGTCCACACATGGTTTGTTTTTGTTTTTGCTTTTTTTTCTGCTCCGCCAGCTTGATTACTTAACTGTAGCTTACTTGTTTATGTTTGTTTTTATCGCGCTGAAATAGGTCAAGAAACTACATGGACATAGCCATGAATGCTTTGTCCAAAATATTAAGTATTAACGTTATAGAGTAAATAAAGTTAAATGACAATAAGAATTTTCCGGTAAAAGTCTATACTGAGCATTGCAATGTTTCACCTTTTACCGGAAAATTCTTATTGTCATTTAATTTTATTTATTCCAGAAAAGAAATGACGTAAAATCGCATTTCCATTTTGCGATACCCCTGACGGTGCATCATGGGAAGTGTGAAAGTGGTCAATTGTGTTTCCAAGTGAATAAAAAATACCATTCATATTGAGATAAAACATGCCGCATATGAAGTCACACTTAACGGAACAACAAAAGTATTCTTACCATAGAATTTATCAAACCCTCTGTGTAACGGCATGTATTCTTTTTTGCAGAACCCTAGATGCCATTTGCCAACCATGTATGTCGAGTATCCGTTCTTTTTTAATTGTTGCGGTAAGGTCACTTCATCCAGTGGAAGACCATGAGGACGGTCGTTTCTGATCACGCCGTGTTGTAGCCCATAGTGAATCTGAAAAATAATGTTATTACCTTTAAAGTGTAGAAGTAAAAAAAAAAAAGTTTAATGTAAGGTTAAAGTGTGCTAGAAATAAAAAAAGGTAGTAGTATCTTACTACTTCATTTAGAAAGGCCAACATTTGCTTCGGAGCAAATGTAATATTTCCCTCCTTAAACAAAAATAGAAGATTCTAATTAAATCACACTGCAATTATACAAGGACAAGCACTTTGAGTCTCGACAGCTTTCTTTACAAAAATGGCACCTGGCAAATTGGCACTCCCATTTGTTTTTTACAAAGATACAAGGACAAGCACTTTAACCCTATCTAGACCGGGCTTTTTTGAGCATGGTGGGACCGGGGGGGGGGGGCTCTTTTGACCCCCCCCTCAGAACTCGCGACAATATATCAACAATTTGTATGTCGTTATGACGTAATATGACGTCATAATGACGTCATTAATGTGATTTTATTGGCCAAAACGGTCTAGATAGGTTATTCCAAAAAAACTTCCCTGGTATACAACATAACTTTACCAAAAGTGTTTATGACAGAATATTGAGTGTACTAAGTCTTATGTTGCCCATAGCAACACCGGTGATGTCATAAAATGACGTCATGCATATTTAAGACATCCGCCATCTTGGATCATCAATGTTTTTTTCATTATATTGCCTAAAATACAATGTAAACATACTAAAGACCTTCATGTAAACCTTTTTTGGAAAAAGAAATGGAAGTATTGATGAAATTTTAAGGAAAATAACCTGTATATACCTGTTCTAATGATATGGTCCGCCATCTTGGATTTTGGCCTATGACTTCATCAAATTAGCATTAATTATGCATATTTAATTATAAATTTACATAAAATGACATGGGATGTTATTAATATTAGAAACCATGAGTAACTTGACATAAAACCCATAAAATTCTATTGTTGAAACAAGAATTACTAAATTTAGCAAAAAATGCCTGTCAGAAACCCGTTGCCATGGCAAGACAAAAAAAATTATCTTATTCCAATGTTAGAAAATTGTTGCCAGCAATATTTTAGGAAAAGTCACTAAGTTTTGCCGTTCTAGCGCTAGCCGTTCAGACGCTAGGTGACATCAAAGTTGGCGCGGGCACTTTTAGCCTCGACAGCTTTACTTTACACTTATCTCAATCTTATTAGTTATACAGTGCAGGTATCTAAATACTACTAATGACGACATTATAACTACTACTAACGGTAGCAAATTTTTTAACCGTCTGAGAAAAATGGACATGTTCACGGAACTGTATATTCACGGTGGTGACAGGTGCAGAAAAAAAACTAACTGTAATGATAGGTTCACGGTACAGAGGTGACAGTAAAAACCATGAACATTGACCTCCCGCTTGCGTTGCGGTACAGTAAATAAGATCAGGAATTACATTAATCAATGTACGGAGTATGTTTGCTTATTTTCCAGATGTTTTGTATGTTTGTCGTAAAATTAGTTAGGAAATAATCGAAAACCAATGCGCGCACAGATGTCATCCATGTGGGAACCTGTGGAGTTGTGTAACCGTGTGCAGCGTGTCCGGTGGGATTCTTGTATCTCTGCCCCTCGACCAGTGCTAGCTGGAACACCTCAGGGTGGAATCATCTCGCCATGTCTGTTTGTCCCAGCTATGAACAGCCTTGACAACAACATCCCACAGAGTGTTACACCTGTCAAGTATGCAGATGACTTGACCAACTCGGAACTTCTTATGGGATCACTACCAGGTCAAATGCAAGTAGCCATAACATTTGGGCTAAGTCCCACAGTATGGCAGCAAACGTAGGAAAAACCAAAGACATAGTTATTAGCTGTCGTAGGGAGTCTGTGATTCCCAATAGAGAGTTCCTGCATTCAAACTTCTCGGTGTGATCGTCAGTAACGACCTGTCGTGGGGCACACACATTGAATACATGTTGTCCAAGGTCCGACCTTCCCTTCACTACTTGCGACTGTCCAAACGAGTTGGGCTTCCAGTAGACGTTCTGTTGCAAATCTACAATATATTTGTTCGTCCAGTACTGGAGTACGCGTACGGTTAATCAGTGTGGGGAGGACTGCCTCGTGGTTTGTACAGTTGTTGCAGGATTATTGGGATTCCCTACGACCACTTGCAAACCTTGGAGTCACGCAGGTGTGAAGCAGCTGTACATGAGCTCAGAAGGGTGATGACAGACGCCACCCACCCATGTCAACAGTTCCTAGAGCCTGGTAGGTCGTCAACGTACCAACTACGACGCCAAACATCCAGCTACAAGGTTCCACTGAGTCGTACCGAAAGACACAGACAATCCTTTATTCCCAGAACTCTCAAAATCATGCGGCAGAAACAGTTAATTGAGTTTCAGACTCTTCTTCTGCAGATTATTTGTATGTGAACCTGTCTTAAAATTGTATATTCATGTCGCCACATTATATATGCTATATTTTAATCAATAATGACTTTTAATAATGCATTTTATCGTTGCATTTTAAACTGTTTTAAAATCACAATTCAGGATTTTCTCCTGCCATGTTGTTTTTATCAAATAAAGTTCAAATCATGCCGGTGAGCTAATTGCCTGTACAGAGTGAACGAAAGTGAGGAGGTCAGAGGTCAGCCGTGGTGAGAGCATTGCCTTTTCCCAGGTCTCACGTCAGTCACCCCAAAAATATCTTGTTAGCCTCCAAAATGAATCTCTTTGTATTTTCACTGCTCAAATATCAGAGCCTGGTAACCTACTTCACCTATACGTGGAAAGAAAATTCCAGTCTTTTACCTGTTTACTATTTTCCCTACTTTGATTTTCCCCTTATTGGACTGACGCAGACAGTGGGGAGGGCAAGTGCCTCGACATGGAGGTATAGTTCTTACACCTGTATATACCTATAGGTACATGTACAAACAGTGCAACAAAATGGTGGGTAAATCAAATCCTGGTAAAATGCATACAGTACTACTCTGGGTATCAATGATGGCTATGTTCATATGTTTCTGTAGCATATATATAGACATAGACAACTCATCCACTGAACCCAGACAATGGGAACCAGTCTTAGATATAACACTAAACACTATGATGTACACCCAAACCCTGGACCAGACCTGTCTGAACTGTTACTTAGCACTGACTTCCGTTTCAAGGGTTTTCTGACTATCGCTCACCTTAATGCTAGAAGCCTTGTACCAAAGATAGACGAGTTGAGATCTTTAGCCTCGACAATGTTAATAAATATTCTCTGTGTAACTGAAACTTGGCTAAGTAATGCCATAGAAGATAGCGATATAGAACTCGAAGGCTACAACTTATACCGTAGAGACAGGAATAGACACGGTGGTGGTGTATTGATTTATATCGACAACCTGTTATATGCTAGAAGGCGCACAGACTTAGAAAACGATGTACTCGAATCCATATGGTGCGAAGTAACAAAGTCTAATGTAAATCTCTTAATCAATTGTACATATCGTTCACCATCATCTGACAACTCATTCTTTGACATATATGAATCGCAAGTACAGAAAGCAACCAGCAATCCGCAGACTGTAAATCTAGTGCTTGGTGACTTTAACTAAAAAAAAAAGTAACTGACTACCCCTAGGAGATTCCGACCATCTAACAACCATAATGAATCTCCAGGCCAACAGACCGACCTTGACGACAGAAACGACCCGCTCCCACTTTCCAGCCCAGCATTACCCCTGAAACAACCCTAGACACAATCCAACTGACTGAAGATGAGGTACGGCAGCAACTCAAAACCCTAAAGACCGGAAAATCATGCGGCCCGGATGATATCACTCCATACCTCCTAAGACAGGTAGCAGACACCATATCTGCACCCCTAACACGGCTCTTTAACACATCACTTACCTTTAGATAGGTCCCTTCTGGTTGGGAAGGGGCTAATGTAACGCCTATCTACAAGGCCGGAGACCGCCACCATGCAAATAACTAGAGACCAATGTCTCTGCTCAACACAGTCCCAAAAGTGCTGGAAACACTAATAAATAAATACCTAATGCAACAAATCACCCCGATATTGTCCCAGAACCAGAGCGGATTCAGGACAAAAGGACAACACCACGCTTCAACTGGCCCGCCTGGAAGATGAATGGAGCAGGGCAATGGACAGAGGGGAAGTCGTGGGATGTGTTTTCCTTGACCTGAGGAAAGCATTCGACAAGGTCTGGCACAAAGGTCTCCTTGCCAATCTATGTGCCCACGGAATACGCGGACCTATCCTCCAATGGTTCCACAGCTATCTGTCCGAAAGGCGACAACGTGTGGTTATACAGGACGGAACATCCGAATGGAAATCGCCTCTTGCCGGCGTCCCCCAAGGGTTCGTTCTTGGGCCCACCCTATTCATCCCACCCTGTTCATTCTGTATATCAACGACATAACATCTTGTTGCACACAGTGTTCTCCAAACTTGTTCGCTGACGATACTTCTCTGTACATCAGTAACAGATCAATCCAACGTGTAGTCACCTCACTTAACAGAGACCTGTGCTCTGTATCAAACTGGCTCACACAGTGGAAACTCGAAACAAACAGGGATAAGTTCAAGGTGATGTACATCACAACTCGCAACATCCCAAGGCCCCATGTACCGGTCACTCTGGGTGGAACTACCCTGGAAGTTGTTGCTAGTTACAAACATCTAGGTGTTACCTTAACCCTACCTAGACCGGGGGGGGGGGGGGAGGGGGACTAAAAGTGCCCACGCCAACTTTGATGTCTCATAGCGTCTGAACGGCTAGCCGTAGAACGGCAAAACTTGGTGACTTTTCCTAGAATATTGTTGGAAACAATTCTCTATCATTGGAATAAGATAATACTTTTTTGTGTTGCCATGGCAACGGGTTTCTGACAGGCATTTTTTGCTAAATTTAGTACTTTTTGTTTCAACAATAGAATTTTATGGGTTTTATGTCAAGTTACTCATGGTTTCTAATATTAATAACATCCCATATAATTTTATAAAACTTTTATCATTAAATATGCATAATTTATGGTAATTTGATGACGTCATTGGCTAAAATCCAAGATGGCGTACCATATCATTAGAACAGGTATATACAGGTTATTTTTATTAAAATTTCATCAATACTTCCATTTTTTTCCAAAAAAGGTTTAAATGAAGGTCTTTAGTATGTTTACAATGTATTTTAGGCTTTATCATGAAAAAAAACAACTATTTTTGAAAATTCAAGATTGATGATCCAAGATGGCGGATATCTTAAATATGCATGACGTCATTTTATGACGTCACCGGTGTTGCTATGGGCAACATAAAACTTAGTACACCTTAATATTCTGCCATAAACACTTTTGGTACAGTTATGTTGAATACCATATAGTTTTCAGGGAAAAACCTATTTAGACAGTTTGGGCCAATAAAATCACATTAATGACGTCATAATGACGTCATATTACGTCATAACGACATAAAAATTGTAGATATGATAAATTTTCACTAGTACGCCATTCTCTAAAAAATTTGGTGGTCATACAACATACCGTTCGCGAGTTCTTTGGGGGGTCAAAAGTGTCTGATGTTCTTCTTCTGAAACAGTCCAGCACTACTTATTACATTGCCCCCTATACTCTGACCATCGCAGCAGACTTACTGCAGCTGTTGAACGACTTGTCCAACAACGTCCCACCGTTTCCCTCCTACTTCAAGGTTCACCAGACCATGACCCTATTATCAATAAGCAACTTTCAGATGCACTTCACACGTTTATAACATCTACAAAAAGATTTACTTCCGGCTGATCCTCTGCTTTTCCATATTGTACTAAGTTCTACTTTTTACGGTATTTACATGCCTTAGCACCTTTCTAATCTTAGCTATTTTTGTATATAGATGTACATGATTCTTAGCTTTTTCTTGTTATTCAATTGTATTTGCTGTTTGACATGTATATTGTATGTATGTATGTATATTCTATGTATGTGGTCACGCCATCAGCTGATTAGCTGCCTTGTGTCCACATTGTATTGTCTTCGTCGCAATTTCAATAAATAAATAAATAAATAAATAAACAAAAGAGCCCCCCCCTCGGTCCCCCCATGTAAAAAAAAAAGCCCGGTCTAGGTAGGGTTAACGAACACACTATCCTGGTCCAAGCACATGTATACAATTTCCACCAAGTCAAGACGATCTGCTGGCCTACTGTGTGCACTAAGAAAGAAGGTGCCAAGAGACATCATATCCAGGCTATATAAGACAATTACACGACCTGGCCTTGAGTATGCCAACATCGTGTGGTCGGGACTCACCAAGAGTGACTAACGGAAACTGGAGTCTGTACAATACCAAACCGTCAGACTGATCAGTGACAACATGGACTCCCTTATCCCTCCTACCAAACCTTGTACACCCAACTGTCCCATCCATCACTTCAGTTCAGACGGAGATTCCATACAGTCACCACCCTGTACAAGCTCCTTAACGGCCACTCTCCACCACACTTCCAAACCCTGATACCCAGAACCCGTGCATCTGCTACTGAGTCCCGCTATCCCCTCAGGAACAGCAACCACCTGACTGTTGAACTTACCAAAACCACCAGAGGCCAGAGAACATTCTTTCACCGAGAAACGTCACTGTGGAACACTCTCTCCACTGACGCTCGCACTGCCACCACTATTGTCTCCTTTAAAAGGAAGCTATAGGACACCCTGTAAGCCTTAGGTGTATGACCCTGATCTCTCCACGTTAATGTAATGTATTGTTGTATCGTGCGTGTAAATGTTTGTCTTGTCAGCAGGGCAAGCTTTTAATAAAAGCCGCCTGGCTAGTTGGGCTGCCCTGGCTGTACAATTTGTCTTTTTACAGCCGAACGAATAAATAAACGAAAGTGAAGTAAAGCTGTAGAATTTCTGTACTAGCTGTAACAGTACTTAATATGATTCGTCCTCACCGTCATTATTCAATGTGGTCATTCTCTTGCTAGTAGTGACTGGTAATACCTCTGTAGATTCTTCACCCTGGTAGAGTGTCGTAGCTTCATACTTTTGTGTCACCATCTAAGTGATTTTGGGTTGTATGTTCGAAAAAATACAAAAGACTAACATTCTAAGTTATTCACAATCAGTTTTTGAATGTTAAAAGAAAAAAAACGTATATTAAAAAGAAAATGATAAAATTAAATTTTAAAATTGTTAACATGTTAAAATGATTAAAGTTGTTTAAAATGTTAAAATGGTTAGAAAATATCCGACACCAGGGTTCGAACTTGCAATGCCTTGAATTGCCGCCCTGCGCGTTACCAACCGAGCTAACTAGGTGCGATTTAATTACGCACTGCCTTGTATGGCATATAAAGTACGTCTGAAACAACAAGGCGGTATCGATCACGTCAAGTAAGGCACCAAGACTTTCAATTAAGTAGGAGATTTTCTTCTTTTTTGATGTAACGTAACTATCAACACGGCTAGCAGAAGCTGCCGGCTCCTTTGATATTACAGCCCCGTCCTGTCCAATCTTTGAAAACTATCGGGCATGCAGCCCTCGACCCTCACTTTAGCAAAAATTGCCACGAAGCCGTCTTACGGTGTTCTCAGCAACAACAAAAGAACGACTGAATCTTTACACGCTTCAATTCTGGTGATTCGTCGGAAATCGATAACAAAACCTAGATAATACTAGCTGTAGATTATAGTTGGTAAAGATTTTGGAAAATTGTTGATACCGTAGCGTACCTACCAAAACACTTGAGTTCATAACTTCATACTCTCAATATGGAATGGCTTTGAACTGGTGTTAACTAAGAGTTAACCCAATCAAATCCAACAGCCAATCAGCAAGAAGAATAGAGGAATGTTGCATGCATATTTGTTACTTGCTCTACATGCCATTCTGATGACTCATGCCGAAATATAGTAACACACTGCTATAGTACATTTTCTATAACACAGCCAAAAAGCTCAAATAAAACCATTCTAAAAGCATGTATCACAAAAAAAAAAAACACTTTAGTATTTGCCCACCCTACCTTCATGCCAAATTTCATGTTATTTGGCCCCAAAATGAAGGAGTTGAATCAATTTAAAGAAATGGCAGGAGGAGAAGACGAAACATGATGAAAAAAGGATTTCAATCCATACTATAGTATGTAGTTCGATAATAATTCAATACAGAATTATTTATAACTAGAAGTAAAAAGACTCATACCTTTGTTGTTATTTTGTGTTGATTTTCCAATAGTACACTAACACGACGCTGTTTAATATGTAATGTATAGTTTTAGATTCCTTTGGCTCAACTTAACCTTTCTTTGACATATCGCCCCTATATATATGTAGATAGCTGCAGCAACGTACAAAGCAAATAGATTACCAATAATGGACCTTGGCATTACTAAACTAGAACAGTGTATTAAACAAATTGGACACTGTACTTTTCAAAAGCCGCTAGGGGGTCAATACTTGAACTTGGCCTTCTTTTTCTCACTCAACCACCTATTTTTACCTACAATGTATCATGAAAACGCCCTTAGATTCAGAAATAGTCAACGTTTTAGTCAACGTCCATCATAAAATATCGACAGAGGATTTTTTAAAGCAGGTTTTTCGCTGAATTTTTCTCTTAAATTTCGTCATGTATCCATTGCTAAAACTAATTTACCTCCCGAAAATCTCGTCAAAGCAACATAGTTATTACAAAACTCCTCGAGTATCCAAAATTAACATTGACACCGTTTAAATGCAGAGTTTAGCACCTGTTTTTTCATCCGCATCGTTGTAACTTGTATATGTGTATGTGTATTCTACATTTATATGATTCAAAGATCTTATGCTAATATTTTTTTTATTATGTGAAACATATATTTTGAAATTAATGAAATTTACCTGATACCTGCCTGTCATTAGTTGCTCCCTTGACGGACTACATATAGGTTGGACATAGTAGTTCTCCAACTTAACTCCCTCTGATGCCAGGCTATTATATAAACAAGGAGTTACAGAAATTTCTCTAAAGAACAAACTCATGCACACAGTTAGTAGAATATTCCCTAAATCAGTGCCTTTTTTAAGGTATAAAACGCGCACCTTTAAATTTGCGATGACTACCGTACCTCTTGATCACGGAGTCACCTGGTGACGGATGTACAGTAGTCATCGAAAATTTAAGTAAAACGTGTTGTTACCTTCAAAAACTAATTAAGGAATATATTTTACTGATTATGATATACACGTTATGAATAAATAGTCTTAACGAAAGACAAGCCAAAACTAATAGAAAAAAATCCTTGAAGTTAAAAAACTAGTTATGGTTAAATTTTGGGCGATTAGTTAATGCATGAATACAACAAAAGCATTGTGGCGACAGGGTTTTTAATATCACCCATGATCATTCTTGAACAATCCCTGAACAAAGCACTGCGGCAGAAAATATTTCATAAATGGATTAACTATTATTATTGTCTGATTGACTATAATACTGTCTCTGGACCAGATACTATTTGAATCCGCTTTACTTTACAGCTTTTTTTGCTTTTAGACTTGCATAAAATTGGTACAAGAAATTAGGGTTTTATGAAAATATGCTAAATATGTATAAACTACGTGCCAAATAAATAATATGTTTGTACAGAATGCCTTTTAAAATATTACATACACAAGCACTATTTAAGATATCATGCCGATACGTACATTGCAAGTATAACATCATTTTAAAATATAAGTAGTAAGACATTATAGGCATTGATTACAAATAAAATGATTTGGTCGTGGTGAATAATTACAGTTATAACGGTGTTTTAAAGGGTTACCCTTTGACTTGGGGACTGGGTATTGAAACGTTTGAAAGAAGTTTTGTTGTGTTGCATTTAGTTTATATTGACAACATCACAAAACAAACTAACGTAATAAATATAGATATTATTGTAGTAGTATATTTTTTCTGTATTTAGATGCCGACAATCAATACATATGCCCAGCGTGAATATTCTATGCTTCAAATGAACATACTTAGAACAATACCTGTCAAGGTTTGGCGTGCGTATAAATAAGTTGTGATAGCCGATGTCGTCCCACCCGTAGTCATCAGCCAGTATGAAAATTATGTTTGGTTTGCCTTTTGTTGGATGTCTTGGAATATAGATTCTGGCGCTGTAAAAATATATATTTAATGGAACTGACACGTCTTAATATGAACAAAGTTAACAAGGAAATGAGAGATATGTTTCCTAAACAAAAAGTCGTTATTGTGATGAATCAAATAAAAATTTAAAACAAATTAAATATATTTTCTAAAGGCTTCAAACCAAAACAAAATATTAAAATAATAATATCGATTCACGTTCCGAGATACCTTTCTTTTGACGTATAACGCCTGAAATAGCTGTCATAATGTCCTGTCGTTCGCCATAACATCATCAGCACAACAATGATTAATGAAACAAAAGCAGTGCGAATATTTAAAAGTGGAAATCCTTTGTGGAGCTTTACTGCCATTGTAGTTCTTTCAATCTCTCCCTACTACCTACCTACATATTAACATCTGACATTTGTAGATCCGTGTTTTAAACGATTTGTTGCGATTGCGCAGTGACACTAGAGAACAGACAGATCACGTGACCCCTACCCTGATACTAATTATTCCGCCCCTTTACCCTCTGACCCTTCCTCCCTGCCCCCTGTACCTTAGTGTAAGGTCATTCGTGGCTCAACCTTTCATTGTACGGTCGGTGAGCTCACTACCCTAATTGCGTGTGTTTGTCTGTGAAATAGACGGGAAACATAGTTCTCTTCGGAGGTTTCGAAGAAACGGCATGAAATAACAGCATATTTTTGGGTATCCAAGTCTACTAAAACGTGTTTGCCCATAACAATACCAGGGACTTCATAAAATGCAATGGAAGTAGACAAAACCTTTTATATAAAAAAAGTCGTATGTAGTCGGTTGTAATTTTAAGGCCGAAATGTACCTAATCTTAAGACAGTTGTAGTAGTAGTATCATTAGTAGTAGTAGTTACTGTAGTAGTAGTAGTAGTATTAAGACTTTAATAAGTGTCTTGAATACTATCTGAATTACGAAGGGTTAGGACAAGAAAGAACGCAAGATAATGCACGCCATAATGATGTGTTAAGCATTGTATTTGACACAGACTCTGATAAACGAAACCAAACATACCTTTCCTAACATGCCGTGCCCTATTCATGATATTTATTCTATCGTAGATGAAGGTTAGACATCCAGGTAATACGGTACGCCAAAAGCAGTTACTCAAGCAACTGGATATGATTTTGGAAACGATCAGACGTTTCAGCTAGTATCCACTAGATTTCGTCAGTGACTGAGAGACAGGAGGAGAAATGCAGGTTTATTAAGCACAAACTATTGATTGATATGCAAATAAAGTGAAGACAAATTTCGTAAGTCGAAAAGGGAACAAAAGTCAGACAAGTTGAGACAAGATAATGCAAATTAGTCAGAAAGCTCCTGTTACACAGAACAGGAGCTTAAGTGTTGTCTGTCCTCGGGACTGGGAGTGCCAAATTCCAAATGCCAGAGAGATCCATCCCCTTCCCTGTTGAGGGTGGGGTTGTACATTCTTTCATATATTGCCTCTTTAACACTCACAAAGAGTGGTACACCCTAATGACCGACCTCACAAAGGTACCAAGACGAATATTATTTACAGACTCAAATGTGGGGAGCCCAATTGTAACAACACCTACATCGGAGAGACGAGTCGACCGCTTAAAGTAAGATACAGAAACATTGCAGACCTAGTGCCAACGGCTATTCCTCATCTACAACACAACCAGGGTCACTCTTTCAAACTTGAGTCCACGGATATCTTGGACCGCGAAACACGCTGGTGGGAACGGGGTGTTAAAGAGGTAATATATGAAAGGATGTACAACCCCACCCTCAACAGGGAAGGGGGGGGGGCAACGGGTAGATCTCTCCGGCACTTGATTTTTGACACTATTAGCCCCGAGGACAGACAACACTGTTCTGTATAACAGGGGCTTTTTTACTAATTTGCATTATCTTGTTTTTAATTCTCTGACTTTTGTTCCCTTTTCGACTTCAAAAAATTGTCTTCACTTTGTTTGCATATCAACCAAAATCTTGTGCTTTTCCCCTCTTGTCTCTCAGTCACTGACGAAAGCTAGTGGATACTAGCTGAAACGTCTGACCGTCCGACGTTTCCAAAATCATATCTAGTTGCTTGAGTATCTGCCTTTTGGCGTATTTATTCTATCGTATGTCCAGATTTCTACATCTCCTGTGTCTCCAGAAAATGCGAAAATAAGCGAAAAAAAGCCAAAATAAGGGTAAACACGCCAAAATAAGCCAAATCTAAAGTAGCTTTTGGTACTCTCACCTCTCAAGTAACGTACTGGTACGATTTTTTATGGCCCGAACATCCACCCGTTGACGTTCTTATTATTGAACTTCACGTTTATTAATTAAAAGAAATCAATCTTCTAACCATGTCTGTAACTTTTTTTTTAAAGACGAATAAATTTGACAAATCTTATCAATTTTTGGTTAAAAGACGTTAATAAACACTAATAATTTCGGCAAAAACATTCCGATAATAAACATTCCGACAAAGATCAAGGTCAAATACCCCGCATATGGGCCTTGTACAGGACCTAGCCCTAGCCTCCTGTACAGGCTCCGGGCGGGTGGGAGTTTTGATACTGCGTTTTGTAGTGTTTGAACGGGTTCCTTTAATTTCCGGGATCCAACAACCAGCCGCGAGAGACGGTTTCTATTGGCAAGAAACGTGCTTTCATTCGGCAACAAAACAACCCAAGTAAAGTCGCCGGTAAATGCTCATTCGACCCCCCACCCCAGAACACGCGAACGGTATGTCGTTTGACTACCAAATATGAGAGGATGGTGTACTAATAAAAATTTATCATAACTACAGTTTTTATGTCGTTATGACGTAATATGATGTCATTATGACGGGGACATTTATTGGCCTCATTATTTCGTTATATGCTATTGTAAATCCTGAATTGAAAAAAACGCACTCAATGAGGACAGACACGTTGATACTGCTCAAAAATTGTATTGAACACAATTGACTTGGGAACCTTGTTCTTTTCTGTGACTTCTTAACCCAGGTGGCTCATACCATCCAACCCGGGAGTGTACTACTTTTGCTACTTAAACCCTACGACGAGTACAAACTTCTCCTGAAGTTGAATATAGGGTGTCTATGAAATACTATAGGACTATCGTATGGTATACTGTGATGACATAACGCCACGTTATAGTTATAATTAACAGTGAGATAGGGATAAATTGAACAATGCGTGAACCAGACGTTAAGATATATATCGACAAATGAGTCGTGTGGTTACTATGCAATGTAACGTTAAACAAGGTACTCCAACAATGGGTTCTGCCAAGAAGGAGGTAGTTCGGAGGTGGCAGAAGTACTAGGCTGTATAATTTCATTTAGGCATCACAACTCAGTAAAATGTTCCAGCATTCCGACCCTTGTCCATCAAGGGGGGAGTATCAGGTCCGAACCATTGTCAATCAGTCGGCTCACCCTGGAACGCAGTTGGGTGATGCCGCGCATTTATACACGAACAGGCAAATCTACACAATCCAATTCATTAGGTGTACGTGCCGATAGGGCCTTATACATTCATGGTTATGAAGAGCGAGATCGAGACCAAGATACAGACCCTCCCAGTGAGTGAATAAACAAGTAACTGGAAAGTACTTCATCTGTGGCTCTTCACTGTACGGCTGAGGACACAACAGAAGACAAGGTTCCCAGGCAAACAGAGACATATTCCAGAATCCAATAGATCTCTGTTGCCAAACTGTAAGAGGTTATTCTGTAATGTTAAATGGGACACGCACCAAAACCATATCATCTGTAAAAGTATGAGACGTTTCTGTCTCCTACGACATTTTAAAAAGCCAAACTACCCGAGTCTGAGCTCGTGACTGTTTTATGCGCATCCTCGTGTGTAAATACGTATGTCCTGTCTGGGTTCTGAGTTCTACCGAGATATCTCAGATCGAGAACATTCAGCACTGGGTCTGCCGTATTTTACTTGGTAGAGACTCCCGGTACTCCTATCATTAAGTCAACTAGGGTTGCCTTTACTCCAGAAAAGACGTCAACAGCTGCTCCTGAAGTTTAGACGCGGTTTGCTAAAATCCCCAACATTTAGACAGGCCAGCTAACGACTCACCAGGTCGTGCTACAAACTGAACTCTATCATTTAGGAACAGTGACATGCCACAAATTGCAAGATTAATAAACTTATAAAGGATAATTAAGACTAAAGTAATGTTAATAGATCCCTGTTACACAGATAATTTTATTCATTTTGTAATCCTAATATTTCGATTAACTTTTAACGTATTTATGTCAGAATTTACAAAGTCAAGGATTTCAACGCTCGGTAAACAAAATTGTGTGAATATCATTCAGTAATTAAGCACCAAATTCCCAGCGCCCTGCTATTCTGTTCCAAAAGTCCTGAATATACCATTATCATTAATTATTATCCGTAATACACAAGGTCATGTTTGTCCCATATATTATCTGTTAGCACAAGGGACTTACAAAACTCGTAGTTCTTACCTTTCCACCATTTTTCAAGATCTGTGTAAACCTTTCTCTTTGAATGATGGTCCTCATGTAGCTTAGCGCAAAGTTCGCAACCAGTATTTATAACTTTTGGAAAGCTTTTAGGAGGGGTTGTTCTCCATTTAAAGTACTGATTGTATTTAGCATCGTCCTCGTTAAGAGTTTTTATGTAGCGAGCTAACGCCTTAGGTGATTCAAAGTCATCTACATGAATAAAACTATTCGGAGGAGCAAACTTTTCATAGTCACCCTTGGGCGGTCCTAATACAATCGGCACAACTCCTTGATCCAATGCATTATGCCAAAACTTTTCGGTAATATATTCTTTACACCTGTAACTTTCGAAGGCTAAGTAGAATTTGTACTGTCTGATTAACTTAAACCGGCACTTCATGTCTAAGTACTCACAGGCATTCTTTCCACACTTACCGTATACGTCTATCGGAAGGTATTTTGCGAGTTCAATAGCGTAAATATGTCGTGGGAAATATTTGTAACATTTGCTTACAAACCAAGCTACTACGTGTGTTTTTTTTGTAGAGTTTGAAATTAATTTACCTTTCTGAAGATTCTTATACACTTGATATAGAGATCCCAATGGACTTTTGACGTCAGAATCATTCCTGTATGTCATTGTCCAGTTGTAAACACCGCTGTAAGAGCTAAGGTCCACGTATCTGTTGTTCTCTGGACATTCCTTTGCATACCATACCCAGTATTGGTGAGGGTGTCGTACACTCGGCATAAAAGATTCATTATACACCATCGGCGTGTCCCAAAAATGAAACACGACAGCATCAGCGTCATTCACCTGAGTACGGTCCCCTGTAAATATGCATGTTTTCATTGGTTTACACGACATTCTCTCTGACAAGTTTTTACCGAAAATACCTGTCCAAAGAACAATCTTCTTTATCTGAAGGCTGTCGTTGGATTTCAATGTAGGATATTCCCTCCAAACCTTGTAGAACTGGGATATATTATACGGTTCAACTGTTTGCCACTGCTGGACAGTATAGGAATTGCCAGGTGTTCTATGTGAATCCTGCTTAAACACCTGGGATAACCTTAATGTTGCCCGATATAAATAGGATTTTTCTTCACTGAAAAGTACAATAGATATGGAGAAAAAAGGAAGAATGGCAATCAGCAATATCTTATAACAACGCATTGTCATTTTAACGTTGCTTTCTCCTTTGCCAGTCATGATTACCAATACTTCTCCTTGTGGCTCTCTTTAGTGTTTTACAAAACGTCTGGTCTGCATCCCCTGGTGAACCAATTCCACGTACGGTCGCTTTTTGCAGTTTTATTACCCTGATGAACTGGTGTTTTAAGAAGAAGCCTGCAGTTGATTGATGGGGCTGTAAAAATAAATAATTAGGAGATTAATAATCATAAAAATGAATCTTCATTGCATGTTCTTGCCCAGAAGGGTTAAATGCACAAGGGGATATGCAGTATGCAAAACATGAATATTGCATACTGAAACGCTAAATTCTAATGCTAGTGATAGGAATCTTTATATTACAACAATACTATATACTACCTATCATCTACTGTTAGTTGCCCTTTCTTCTCTCTTTCCGAAACATCTGGAAACATAATTACATAGTTTCTCTGCTATGCGTTCGTTCTTGGATGACATCAAGTGTTTAAAAGTATCCTTGCTTTGACATTTTCTTACATACTTTGTCTAATTGTAAAATATCGAATAGCTCTTGGCGTTCATCTTTAAATAATGTACAGTCAAGTAGAAAGTGTATCTCGTTTTCAATAAATAACTGATTACAGAATTCGCACGTTCTATCTTCCAGACGGGTAAAGCTATTCCTGTCGGATTCTATACGTAAGGGATAGTCACTAATGCGAAGTTTACACATGGCTCTGCGATGTTCGAAGTTTGCAATGTTTAAATAGGTTTCTCTTTCATAAATCTCTTTGAATGTTTTGTATGTCCTTAGTTTGTTGCCTTGGTTTTCTCTTCTTCCTTTTACTTGTAGTTCTGAGTCTTTGTTTTAGTTCATTTAGATTAGACGGCGATTTTAAGTGACCATTAATGTACAGATAGGCAAATCCAGATTTCTCTAAAAGGTTCCTTACATCTGATAACCCGCAGGGTAATTTTCGGCGATCTAGCTCTTGTTGTACCAACTAGGTTTCATGTTGAAGACTACTTGTATGTGCTTCGTTGGCTAATTTGAAATAGTAAATAGTAATTGTACATTCTGCATTGAGCCTCTATCAGTAAAGGGAAACGTCCCAGTTCCGCTCTACATGCAAAGTTACTGGCGTTCCCCCGAATTCCAAGAATATATTTACAGAATTTAAGATAAACAGTTTCTTTTTCAGATTTGTCATTCATATTGCTACTGCACCATATTTCAGATACATACAATAATATCGGTACAATACATGTGTCAAACAGTTTACATTGAAGCGATACGGAAGACCTAGTTTCTCCAAGAGTACTTCTCGTCGCTCTGAGGCTCTCTTTTGTAAATTTTTCATGGCAGCACTAAATGTACATCCTGCTGTAAACATAACTTTTAGGTAACAATATAATGGAGCTATCTCTATCTCTTTATTATATTATAAGAAACTAATGTTAGGCAATAAAATGCTTATTTTGTTACACACTATAACTTTGGTTTTTGCTACGCTGATTTCCATTGTTGACAATATCGGCCGAGATTGTTAGTTGCATTCTGAAGTCCATGCTTACATTCCGACAATATAACAACATCGTCGGCATAAAATATGCTATTTCTTTTTTGAAGATTGTAAAAGGGGGCATCTAGGTTTTCTGCATTGAGTTTGTCTATGAGGTCACTTATGTACAGGTTGAATAGGGTGGGGCTTAAAACACACCCTTGCCGAACACCGATTTCAACAGGAAAAGCTTCGCTCAGGCCATTTCTAATTTTGACACGGGCTTCGGACTGGTTGTATAAGTTTTTAATTATGTCGAAGATCTTGAGTTTGCCTGAAATGCCCTTGGAGAGAAGTTTGGATAGCAGTTCCTCGTGTCAAATGGAGTCAAAGGCTTTTGATAGGTCGACAAAACAAGTGGATAAGCGTTTTCCAGAATATGTCTGTTTAGGTATTAGAGTTTTCAATATGAAGATGTTATCTGATGCCCCTTAGGTTTTTCTGAATCCTGTAAAAAAAGTTTTTTCAGCGATTTAAAAACGTGTTTACCTTTTAACTATCTAGACTGGCTAGGGGGGTTTAAAATGTCATCGCTAAATTTGATGTCGTGTAACGTCCGAACGGTTAGGGTTAGAGCAACAAAATTTGGTTACTTTTCCTAGAATACATCTGGCCACAATTTGTACCAGTTAAACAAGATAAAAATTTCTTGTGTTGCCATATCAATGTTTTTGTTGTAGGCATCTTCAGCGAAATTCAGTAATTTCAGGCTTTTATGTTGAGTTACACATGCTTTCTTACATTCATACCATCCTATGTAATTTCATGTCATTTTATCAATAATGATGCATAGTTTATGCTAATTTGATGACGTCTGAATCCATATTTTTCCTTAAAAAGTTCATTACTACTTGAATTTTTATATGACGGAAGGTTTAAAGGCATCCAGTGCGATTTCTGGGCATTAAAACTGGATTTACAAAATAAAAATTCTAGTCACCTAGTTACATGGTATGATTGAACAACACCATCCTAGCCCATATCGACCTTCGTTGAGCAAAAAGCGATGTCGTTGAGCGGTGAGAACTCGCTGAAATCTGCACGCTTTCCCGGCCCGGCTTTGGAAGGCAGCCATTTTTCAAATCTGCCGACCGCGCGCGAAGCCTACCGATGATCCCCGAACGCTTCCGGAGATTGTCACGTGATCCTCGGTGACCTTTCTGACACGGCTGTCAGTCGGCTTATCAGAGATCACACGCACGTTCATTATTCTCCGTCGCACTTTTCAGAACTTTTTTTGCGCTCGCAGTTCGTTTCGTTTTTTTTTATACGTGACAATGGCAGGTCGTCCCCGGCGAGCAACGAAAGAGAAAGCCATCGAGAGGTTTCATGTTGGACGATGACGATGAGGTATGTAAACTTCTATTTGTTTTCAACTTTTTGCGTCGTATGTCATCTCTGGTGTTCATCTCGACAAGTTTAGTCTTTGCCAATAAATACGTGAGTAGACAAAGTAATTGAAATATATATATAAACTACCTTCAGTTTCCAATTCCAGTGTGTGTAGACTAAGTAGAGTTTGTTTCCATGCTAAAACTTTGCGATTTTAGCGGTCTGTCGGACGTGTGCATAATTACGTTCGCTTCTCCGATCATCGGAAAAAACACATTGACGTGAAATATTTCACTACTCTTGGAAATTGACCCCCCAAAAAAATGCAACTTACCTGAATGAAGAGTTCATCTTTTACCTAGCACTTTTGAATGTATAAGAAAATGTGTCTATTGTGGCCGTAAAGAGTTTGAAGTGATTTGTTTTGTAATTCATTCAATTTTGCCAAAGCGGAATTTAGCATTTCAGTGTTACTTTTCGCGTTGCCGTGCTAATTGCAGATCTAAAGACGTTTCCGTTATCCAGCCAAATCAATGCACGCAGATGGGGATGTGAACAGATGTGTACCCGAACGAACATAATAGTATGCTATAGATGTCAAATACCAGACTTGTATCACTGTCTGCACATAGTGTTTAGCTTATAAGGTCAAAATTTACAATAAAGGTCTTTCAATCATTATCAGACCTCTACACTATTTATAATATTAGTTTATGAATTTCCTGGGATGAATTGTCAGGAGAAGTGTTTTTTCTATCTGTGTCTGAAATCAATATAGTACTATTTCTCATATACCTTTCCCTGTATGACCTAGGACAATCCAGCCCGAGGAAGGGAATTTGCCCGGCACTTGGAACAGAGGAACCAGGTGAACCAGCCTGCAGACGCCACGCCCCTCCAGCCTCAGGAGGATCCCCAGGAGGACATGGACATGTCCCTTCCCTTGGCAGATTTGTCCATCGACACTGATGCGAGTGAGGACGGGAGTGATGAGAGCGGTGGTGAGGAGGATGGGGATGTAGAGGAAGAGGATGCAGAGGAGGAGGAGACAGAGCAAGGCAGCAGGGGGAGAGGCGGCAGGGGGAGAGGCGGCAGGGGGAGAGGCGGCAGGGGGAGAGGCGGCAGGGGGAGAGGCAGCGGGGGGAGAGGGGCAGGAGGAAGAGGCGGCAGAGGAAGTGGGGCGAGGGGAGGTGGAGCCACCAGAGGAGCCCGGCGGCGGCATATTCCTATCAGAGCGTCTGCCGAGGACAGGGAGAGGATACTCTCTCTCCAACAAGAGAGAGAGAACAAACTAAACGTAAGAACAATTCAAAATCCCATTCTATCAGTATAATGCTATAGATTTGCAATCAGCGATACATGTGGAATTTGGAGAGCATATAATTCTATTACACTTTGGTCTCTTCCATCAGTTTTAGTTCTGATCCCTTTGTTTTCTTAGGAGCTGGTAGGTGTCCTGCCGTTGGAGGCTTCGCACGACCTTCTAAAGCTCGTGGCGAGGAGCAAGCCTTCCATCCTCCTTGACATCCTCCAGGTGGGTGAGGGGAGGAGGATTGCCGACATGGCTTCGGGCATAGTTGCTGGAGGTGCAGGAGGACCAGGTGGAGATGGAGGAGCTGGAGATGGAGCAGGTGGAGATGGAGGAGCAGGTGGAGGCGGAGATGGAGATGAGGGGAGGCATGCTGTTCCACCATGGTGCAGATGCAGCAACTGTCGCGAGATGCCGACCGATCTCGAGAGGAAGTGCTGCGACATGGATGCACGGTGGTGTGTTTCGCGACTTCCAGTAAGTGGCTAGCCGGTTCTATTCACATCACGTCGTATTGCATACATATCAGAATCATATCACAATTCATGTTGACAGTACAATGAATAGCACATGGTATTTCCCTGTATACATATTTCAAGGCGCAAAGTTCCAGATGAAATCCATTTGTCATGCAACCTACCACTAGAAAACTTTAGAGTACAGACCAATATACATAAAGGTAAAACATTTCACAGCAGTTTTACAAAAATACCTGTTATCTATACAAAACCTACAAGGGAACTCAACTGTATGAAAACAAAATAGCACTATGTAAACATGTCATCCAACTTGCACATTGGTATTATGTATAGGTATGTAACAGGATCAGAGTTCTACTACCAATAAATGTACCTTGCTTTATCTATACCTATTACTTGTATACAAGTCTATAATTGTTCCCTACAAAAATATTTCTCCACATCGTTGTTCATTGTTACTTGTTTGCTCTGTTTCAAACACTCTTTACAACTCTTTTACTCTCTTACAATATCCATATTACACAAAAAGCAGGACATAGTATGTCAAGCAATCAAGTAAGAACTCTTATCCTTTTCAGGAGATTGACTTGTACATCCTGCAGCGGGGAGTCCTGCAGCTCAACAGGGACACCAGGAACGATCTCCTGGCCTTGCAGGAAGACCAGGAGCCAGGGGCGGACCACCGAGAGTTTAGACATGCTGCCTACAGGCAGTTTGTGGTGTGGCAGCATGGGCGCCTTGGGGAGGGTAACAGGGTGGTCATACCCTCCTGCTGTGTCTGGCGCATCCGGGACGAGTTCCCGGATGTCAATGGACATTACACTGGCTTCCGTGTAAATAGACTGTTTTAGATGTAACAGTTACACTAACCCTTACCCTGACCCTATGCGGTTAATGAACCCTGTGTAGGCAAGTCTGTCCTCGACCTGTGCTGCTCTACCAGCACATTGGTCGGCACTGGAGGTATCTTAGCTAGGGTACCGAGCCTCCTGGGATCTGTTTCAGACATGGGCTGTGTTGTGCTCATGCCTCTCCCGGAGTCGGCTCTCTTGTCAACGATCTCTGCCTGCAGGTCCTTGATGTAGAGGTACTTCTTCGGTTCCCGAGGCACATAGATTGACCAACGCTCAGACTTCTTCTGGAACCGTCTCTTGTACCTGAAGACATGCAAAACAGCGTAAATAACTTCTATGACAATTACAGGTTACCAACATTCCAAATTCAATGATTGACATGTTAAACACAATTGTAAATTCCCATCATCTTTGCAACTGGAACAAAATGTCTGAAACTGATCCCAGGAGGTTTGGTAACCTAGCTAAGATTCCTCCAGTCCCAACTAATGTGGTAGTAGAGCAGCTCAGGTCGTGGACAGACCACACAGTGGTCATTAACTGCTTAGGGTCAGGGTTGGTCTCTACAGTAGCCTACACAGCGACCTACTTCATACAAACAAATTAAACAAACCAACCATTTATGCTAAACATGTTGCCTTAGCTGGGTGACAAGGCGAGAGAAAACATATCTACTCACTTGATATGTCCATCCTTGGCTTTCCACACTGCCCTGTCCTTGTGCTCGTTGTAGTCTAGGGCAGCAAGCTGGCACCTGGCCTCGTAGACCGGGGGGCTGAAGGCGTACCTCTTAGATGCATACATCAGTATGTGATTCTGGAAGGACTCCAGGTCTGATGTCGTTCTGGAACATAATAGATTTTCAACATGTCTACAATTGGCATGCTTTGTTCAAACTTTTTTTAAGATTGTTGTCAATAGTTACTTGTGAAACTTGATTAAAAAAATGTCCTATATACATAAAGAACTGACTGGATATAGGGAAACAGAAAATGTGTGATAAAAAAGTGTAAGAAAAAACGACATGTATCACCATTTGAGCACGAAAAGGGACATATGTCATACATAAATAAGGGATACATAGGGACACCAAGATATGCAATTACACTCACCGGAAGCGTAGGTACTTGTGGGTGGTCTTCAGCCACCTTGGATTTAGTATGATCGTTGCCAATTTCTTGTGGGCAGGGGAACCAGACACGAGCCAGGTTTTCGTCCGGGGAGTGTCTGCACTGATTGGGTTATGGTCACACTGACCCATGGCCCATGTGTGCACATCGCACACGTGGTGCAAGACACCTTTCCACAGTACCTATAGACAAAACCATGTGAATACTTGATATGTCATTATGAGTAAGGTTTGTTATACAGATATGGATATTCTACAGTGACACATGAGACACGACTTAAGCTCATGTCTAGCTGCATTTAGTGATATATTAGTGATAACAATGTCACTGTGGGGGAGGAGGCTTTGATAAGTGTAAGATAGATAGTAAGTAACTTTTCTAAGTAACTAAGTAACTTTTCACATTGACTATGATCCAAGACTTCTGCTGATGCCATAAAGAAATGTGCCATGGACTTGTGTGTTTGTATAAGACTCGGTACTCACAATGAATTCGCCAAATGTACTGGCCTTGTTGCAGCACCACCAGAAGTGGTTGATGATGTCCCTGGTCCACTGCTTTAGGTCTGTACAGGACTTCTCCTGTCCAGCCTATGGCAAAAAAAGAGACAATCATAAGTACATTGTGCCTCAAATACTGTAGAAGGTACCTGCTTTCTAACATAATACTTGTGATCAATACTGTTACACCTTTTATAGTTTATGGCATATCAATAGTGCAGTATTTTCATCATGTATAAGCTACATTGTTCGCTGTATGAATTATGAGCCCAAGTCTCATCTTCCTAAGAAAACAAAGATGCATGTGTTATTCCTGAGTTATTGTAACCAATCCATTCAAATGCTACCAAAAGTAAGAATGAATAGTATTACATATCAAATACTTCAGGATACTACGAATACTTACTGCAATCAGCTTCTTCATGAGGTTTTTGGCTCCATGCCAGACGTCTAGGGAATGAAATATTCCCTTTACTCCGTATTTCCCTTTGTCAGCATCTGTTTATAAGGAATAAAACATGTTCTGGTTGAATCGTTACCAAGTTACTCTGTCTGTGTTGACCATTGTAATGACCCACTTTATTGCCAATAAATACAGGTATAAACTGAAATTGCTGCACCTGAGCTATTACAGGATGCATTCTTTTGAGTTAAAAAAACAGTAAGAGTTTATAGAATTTGTCTGACAGCATCTGAAGAAATGGACTAGAACAAGAAAGCACATACTTAAGTTTAACATTACTTACTCATCAGTGCACCAATTTGTGGGTGTGCATCGGTGCAAACCTCTTCAATTGGCACCCTTGCCTCCAAGAGTTTGTCCATGGCTTTCTCAAACCCCCTCTTCTCCATGATTGAAGACTTTCTGTCTGTCTGCCTCTTGTCCACCACTTCCACAGCAACGATGGCCCTTGTGTTCCCATCCAGGACAGTGTACGTGCAATACTGTGCATTGTGTCCTGGTGAGTCCATCCGTCCGTCTCCTGTGTATGTGCAAAATAAAGATGTTTGTAAAACATTAATTATTGCTTTCCATAGCATCTGTCCCCATGTTATAATGCAGCAGAGTAATGGCTAATTACGTTCCATACTAGTTCCATAAATTTTCACCCCATTATATAAAACAAAATATTGATAGCAATAGCAGTGTATATGCAAGTCAAATGATACAACACATAGTACATACCAAGCAGAACGACCTTGTCCCTCCTCTTCATTTCTCTTACAAGGGCCTGCAGTTTGCGCTGCCAGAAGGTCTCTATGACAGGCACACAGTACTGCCTCTGGACTCTCAGAAATGTTGTCTCACAGACACACCCCAGGTTCATGAAGCTGGACATCAGGCTGACCTTGCTGTAGTTGTTCCCCGACAGCAGAATGCTGGAGGACAGCATGAAGTCCCCCGCCTGAAGTCCATACTTGAACCTGGGCTGGCTGTAGCCACTTCCAAATGAGATGCCCACTACCACAGTACTGCAGAAAAAAAAGGTAAACAGATCCTGTTTGGACAACCCTACTAATGCAAGTAACATTAAATGCAGCTTCATATAGTTGCAACAGGAAAACTAATATAAATGCAGGGGCAATGGCTAGACATCACATTTTGATATAAGAAGCAAGTTGGTCAGTGTCTGACAAAAAAGTGTGAGCTTACCCATTTAAGGACGATTCCAGTGCCAATGGACTTGGCCACTGGGTTGGGCTGTCCGGTTGCACTGCACTTTGGGTCCCTGCACTTCATCTTGTCTGCAGGTTGTTGCAGGAACTCCACCAGCTAAAGCAGGCTTTTCGTGTACACGATGGAACACTGCTCATCCTTGATGTCACCAGAGTGGTTGACCTTGATCTCATCTGGAAACTCGATGTTGTCATCGGTCTCATCTGCCACTCCTACTGACAAGGCATGGTCGTAAACCTCCTCCCCAGGTGTGATGACACCGTATGTCTCGATGTCCCGACCTAGAATGGTGGATGATGTCCTGAAATATGGACAGGAAACAAGATACATTTATTTCATTTAAAGAAAGATTGACAATAGCAAACAATTTTTTTAAGTCAACTTGGGTTGATACTTGTAAGGAAGATCATCACATAACTTGTACCATAAAACACAGATTAACCTAAAACATACTATTGAAGGCCAACATTGGATACAGCTATGCTCTACAGTCATGAACTCTTTTAAACATATAAGAACACTGAATACCAAGGGCAACTGAAAGCATACAGATTATCTCCCTACTCACAAGACACATACCTCATTGTCACAGACGGAACGTAGTCCGGATCTTTCTCCACATCATCAAAGTATTCATACGCATCTTCCTCCTCTTCTCCCCAGTTCTCATAGCCTATGTCAACAGAAAGCCTGGAAAACAACACATCACATGATCAAAGAAAGCCTATCCAAAAAGCATCAACAAGAAATCAAACTATGATACAGAATAATAAATAAAGGACCAAGTGATTTAAACATACAAAA